CAAAAAAAAAAAAAAAAAAAAAAAAAATTGTATTTTAAGGCAGCAGTCTCCTCATCTGTACAGTGGGGTAAGAATGGTTCTGCCTAGTTATTGTGAGACCAACATGAGGAAACATACACCCTGCCTAATGCTGTCTGGCACCCTGCATCACTTCATAATCGTTAGTTCCCTTCCTTCAGTATGCCTCAGGGCCTACCTGCTCTGTTCATATAACAATTTTCAAGAATGGGGCTGGAACTCATTCACACTGAGAGGTACCAGAGTACTGAAGGTTCTGTGATCCTCCTAAGGAATCTGCACTTTAGCTTCCCTGCAGACCAAGGATTGGATTAGAGGTTTTTTTGTTTTTCCCCTCAAGTTTGGTGGTAGGGAGGGGAGACTTCCTTCCAGTGTCTGAAAGCAGACTGCACAGGTAGCTATCTCTGGTGTTTGGACTCTTGGTAAGCCCTTCTCAGACGCCTTTGACCTTGAGAAGCTCCCATTCTGATAAAAGCTCCTACTTGTGGCAGTGCCTGATAACAGACAGCTGAGCAAGCCAGTTGGTTTCAAACGGTGATGTTTATTGCTGTTGATTGAGCCCTGGTGCCTACTTGACTCCCTGTTTGGATCAGGGTGGAGGAAGCAACGCTTCTCTAGACCTGCTTCTTTCAACTGAAGGTTGAAAGTCATTCCCAACATGTTTCATGGCCCAGATGTCAGGGTTCCCCAAGGTCAGCCTGACTCAAAGTGAGAACTTCAGGGAAACCAGGGAAGCTCCCTCTCCAAATCTTCCCTCACCTGCTTCTTGTTGGCTGCCTTATCCCTGGCCAGTGCCTTCTACTCTGGTGGTGGTGTTCTTCTTGTTTTTGAGACAAGGTCTTGCTTTGTCACCCAGGCTGGAGCATAGTGATGCAGTCATGGCTCACTGCAGCCTTGATCTCCTGGCCTCAAGTTATCCTTCCGCCTCAGCCTCTTGATTAGCTGGGGCCATAGGAACATGCCACCATGTCCAGCTAATTTTTATTTCTTATTTTTTGTAGAGACTTGGTCTCCCCATGTTGCCCAGGCTTCCTCAGCTCTGCTTTGGAGCAGAGACACCTGACAGGGAAGGACCAAATGGGTTCCATATACATCAGGCGTGAAGTGACTGACTGACAGCAGCCCTTGCCTGGGAAAGGCTGAATATACAAACAGCCAGTGGCTAGACCATGTATGAAAACAGAACTCTGAGGCCAGGCACAGTGGCTCATGCCCGTAATCCCACCACTTTGGGAGGCCAAGGTAAGTGGATCACGAGGTCAAGAGATCAAGACCATCCTGGCCAACATGGTGAAACCCCATCTCTATTAAGAATACAAAACTCAGCGGGGCATGGTGGTGCACACCTGTAGTCCCAGCTACCTGGGAGGCTGAGACAGGAGAATTGCTTGAAACTGGGAGGTGGAGGTTGCAGTGAGCCAAGATCACACCACTGCACTCCAGCCTGGGTGACAAGAGTGAAACTCCATCTCAAAACAAACAAACAAAAAAACAAACAGAACTCTGATCCATAATAGCAGCAACCAGCAAAGGAAGCCAGCCTACTGTCTACAAGTCAGACCACTATCTTTTTTTTAATTCATTTTTTATTTTTTGAGATGGAGTCTTACTCTGTTGTTGCCCAGGATGGAGTGCAGTGGCTCACTGCAACCTCCACCTCCTGGGTTCAAGTGATTCACCTCCTCAGCCTCCCAAGTAATTGGGATTACAGGCACCTGCCACCATGCCTGGCTTTTTTTATTTTTTATTTTATTTTTAGTAGAGTTAGGGGCTCACCATGTTCACCAGGCTGGTCTAGAACTCTTGACCTCATGATCCACCCACCTCAGCCTCCCAAAGTGCTGGGATTACAGGTGTGAGCCGCTGCACCCAGCTCAGACCACTATCTTTACCAACCAGTCTAGCAAGCCAAATAACGACCACTCTAACAGTTGGCCCTCAAAGCCAGGACTTGATTAATAACTGACAGCTTCCCTAATTTTTGCCCCTGCTTCCAACCTAGGACCAACTCGAGAAAGTCAAATATGCATCCCTAACCAATCACACAGGATGTCCTGCTGCTGCTTATTTATTTATTTTTGAGATGGAGTTTTGCTCTTTTGCCCAGGCTGGAGTGCAATGGTGCAATCATGGCTCACTGCAGCTTCCACCTCCCAGGTTCAAGTAATTCTCCTGCCTCAGCCTCCTAAATAGGTGGGATTACAGGTGCATGCCACCATGCCCGGCTAATTTTTTGTATTTTTAGTAGAGATAGGGTTTTTGCCATGTTGGCCAGGGTGGTCTCAAACTCCTGGCCTTAGGTGATCCACCCACCTCGGCCTCCCAAAGTGTTGGGATTACAGGCGTGAGCCACTGTGCCCAGCTGGATGTCCCACTTCTACTTAGCCCACCTACAGCTTCCCTGTGCCAATAGCTTCCAATCAGGGCATCTCTGAAGCCTTTATTTCCCACTACAGAGTTTTCCCATTCCTTTGCCTGCCTCTGAGTCTCTGCCAAAAGCAAGTGATGGTGGTTGACTTCCTGCTATGACAAGCTCTGACTGGCTGGGTGCAGTGCCTCATGCCTGTAATTGTAGCACTTTGGGAGGGCAAGTTGGGTTGATCACTTGAGGTCAGGAGTTCGAGACCAGCCTAGGCAACATGGTGAAACCCCATGTCTACTAAAAATACAAAAATTAGCTAGGTGTGGTGGCACACGCCTGTAGTCCCAGCTACTTGGGAGGCTGAGGCACAAGCATTGCTTGAACCCCGGGAGGTAGAGGTTGCAGCGTGCCCAGATGGTACCACTGCACTTCAGCCTGGGCAGCCGAGCGAAACTTTGTCCCAAAAAAAAAGTTAGCTGCCGGTGGTGCATGCCTGTAGTCCCAGGCACTCAGAAGTCTGAGGCATGAGAATCGCTTGAACCTGGGAGGTGGAGGTTGCAGTGAGCCAAGATCACACCACTGCACTCCAGTGTGGGTGACAGAGCAAGACTCCATCTCAAAAACCAACAACAACAACAACAAAAAGCAAGCTTTGAATAAATAGCCTTTGTTCTCCAAAAAGAACAACAGCAAAGTAAGCAGTAAACAGGCAGCAGGCTAGATTTACTGATCTGGAATAATGGTTTGGGACTGATGACAAGATCCCAAGCACAGATAGAGCAAGACAGAAGCAAGGAGTATTAATTTTATTTTACAAACACTTACAGAGCCCTCAGTATATGCCAGATATTATTCTAAACACTTTACAACTATGGACTCATTTAATTATCATTCAAATCCTGTAAGGTGTGAGTACCATGATGATCTCCAGTTTGCAAATGAGCACAGTCCCCAGAGAAGTGAAGAGTCACAAGCTGGTGAGTGGCAGAGCCAGGATTTGAATGCAGGGAATCTATCAATGTCTCTGCTGTTTGTGCTATTAGAGAGGAGCTCCACCTGCACAGGGAGCAGCCTGATGACAGGACCTGGTGGTCTCTCTGTATCCCTAGTGCCTGGACCTTAGCAGACCTCAGTTAGTAGTTACCGAGCTGAAATGGAATGGAAGATGAGTAGCAGAGTGCCTGTCAGGCATTGTGATGATGACGGGACCTGTGGACCCACTGTGCCCTTGTGCCCACTGCAGGGGACCCAAAGGTGCCAGTACTGTACCAGGTGGAGCGGACGCGAACAGGGTCGAGCTTCTCAGTGCGCTCTGTGAAGGCCGTGCAACATGGGAAGCCCATCTTCATCTGCCAGGCCTCCTTCCAGCAGGCCCAGCCCAGCCCCCTGCAGCACCAGTTCTCCATGCCCACAGTGCCACCGCCAGAAGAGCTGCTTGACTCTGAGGCCCTCATTGACCAGTATTTAAGGTGAGAGACCTGGAGGTTCCAGGGCAGATTTTTCAAAATATAGCTGCTATCCGTTTGTGGGTCATGGAATTGTTTAGTGGGTCTTGACCAGAATTAAAAAAATATAGACTAGAAAAGAAGATATTGGAGTGAATAATATGTATGTATTAAAAGCAGGAATCATTTTGTGAAACTTGAGGTTCAGTTGTGTGTGTTTCTGATATGTGTCTATATTGGGTCATGGCATAAAATGAAGGGCTTGGCTGGGTGTGGTGGCTTACACCTATGACCCCAGCACTTTGGGAGGCCAAGGCAGGAGGATTGCTTGAGACCAGGAGTTGGACACTAGCCTGGCTAACATAGCAAGACTCCATCTCTAATTTAAAAATAAAATAAGGCTAGGGCTGGGTACGGTGGCACGTGCCTGTAATCATAGTACTTTGGAAAGCCCAAGAGGGAAGATCACTTGAGCCCAGGAGTTCAAGACCAGCCTGGGCTACATGGTAAAACCCCATCTCTACAAAAAATACAAAAATTAACAGGTGTGGAAGCACATGCCTGTAGTCCCAGCTACTTGGGAGGGGGAGGCAGAGGCTGCAGTGAGCTGAGATTGCATCATTGCACTCCAGCCTGGGCAACAAGGGCAAGACTCCGTCTCAAAAAATATATGTGTGTGTATGTGTGTGTGTACACACACATACACACACGTCTCTCTCTCTCTCTCCATATATATATAAAATTTGAGACAGAGTCTTGCTCTTGTTGTCCAGGCTGGAGTGCAGTGATTCAATCTTGACTCACTGCAGCCTCCATCTCCTAGGCTCAAGCCCGCCTCAGCCTCCGAAGTAGCTGGGATTATAGGCACCCGCCACCACACCTGGCTAATTTTGTATTTTTAGTAGAGATGGTGTTTCTCCATGTTAGTCAGGCTGATCTCAAACTCCTGACCTCAGGTGATCCACCTGCCTCAGTCCTCCCAAGGCTTAGGGGACTAGGGATATATATATAAAATCCCCAGTCCCCTAAGTGATTCCCTCTCTGCCCTCAGGCCCCTGGTCCAGCAGCTTAGGACTTAATGTGCGCCAGGAGTGAGTGTCCTCTAGGACTCTGCAGCAGAGCTATGGCCTATATTTGATTGGTCACCGTCTTTGCCTTAGTGCATTTTGTGTTTTTTTGAGATGGAGTCTTGCTTTGTTGCCCAGGCTGGAGTGCAGTAACACAATCTTGGCTCACTGAAACCTCTGCCTCCTGGGTTCAAACAATTCTCATGCCTCAGCCTCCTGAGTAGCTACGATTACAGGCTGAGATGTGTGTGTGTGTGTGTGTGTGTGTGTGTGTGTGTGTGTGTGTGTACATACACATATATACATGCTGCCATGCCCAGCTAATTTTTATATATATTTTTCAGTAGAGATGGGGTTTTGCCATGGTGGCCAGGCTGGTCTTGAATTCCTGACCTCAAGTGATCTGCCCGCCTTGGCCTCCCAGAGTGCTGAGATTACAGGTATGAGCCACCAAGTCTGGCTACATGTTTTTATGTATATAAAACATATGTACAAAAATACAAATATGCATTTCCCCCTAACCATTAGACCACCAGGGAGCATGTTAGAGATTTGGAATACCTGGTAAAATATATTTATTTGGACCACGTAATAATGTTTGAAAATGCTAATGCAAGGGAAAGCTCTGGGTCCAGACACAGGACAGACATGGAATCTGGCCAGGGCTGTGCCTTTGTTAACGCTCACCTGCTATGGGACATTGCCCAATTCCCCAGGCTCTCAGGGCCCTAGTTTCTTTTCCTAAAAAATGGGAATGCTCATTTCTGCCCTGCTTACTTCTTAGCTGTATCATAAGGAGAGAGGGTCTCTATTCTTGTGCTAGACACTGGGAAGGCAACAGGGTATGATGGAATGGATGTGGGTTTGGGAACCTGAAAGGCCTGGATTCAATTCTAGACTTTGTCCCTACTAGCTGTGTGAATTTGGGCAGGTTGCTTTCCCACTCTGAGCCAGTGCTCTTAATTATAAAATGGTGCTAATCATATTCCTACGTCATAAGGCTGCTGTGGGGATTCAATGAGATAAGAGAGATAAGGCACTTAGTGTGCTAGTACTAACTAGCGCAATGGCAGTAAATTGTAGTTATATCACTTAACAGGAAAAACACAGGGCCTGGTGTGTGCTTGCAATTCGACAAATGTTTGCTGAAATGAAAGGAAGGCACTGTTAAAGGACCCTGAATTGAGATCTGTGCTGTTCAGTAAGGTAGTCTCTAGCCACTTGTGGCTATATTACGTTAATTAAAACTAAATAGGGCCAGGTGCAGTGACTCATGCCTTTAATCCCAGCACTTTGGGAGGCTGAGGCAGGTGGATCACTGAAGGTCAGGTGTTCGAGACCAGCCTGGCCAACACGGTGAAACCCCCATCTCTATTAAAAATACACACACACACACTAGCTAGGAGTAGTGATGTTCCTGTAAACTCAGGAGGCTGAGGCAGGAGAATCGATTGGACATGGGAGGCAGAGGTTGCAGTGAGTTGAGATTGAGCCACTGCACTCCAGACTAGGCAACAGAGTGAGACTCCATCTAAAAAAAAAAAAAAAATAGAACAATTCTGCTCCTTAGTTGCATTAGCCACGTTTCAGGTGTGGCTAGTGACTACCATTGTAGGCAGTGCATATAGGCATTCCATCATCACAGAAGGTTCTATTGGGCAGCACTCTAGCGGATGGGGGTGAAAATGGCAGTACCTGTGCAGAGCACTATGGGTGCTTGTCACCGTATGGAAGGGAATTCCATGGAATGGGCTCCTCCCCTTGGGGGAACACAATGCTCCCTACTGCGTAGGGTTAGGTAACTCAGGCCAAGTCAGGCAGCCCATTTCTTGAGTGTTTAGAATAATGGGGCCGGGCGCGGTGGCTTAAGCCTGTAATCCCAGCACTGTGGGAGGCCGAGGCGGGTGGATCACGAGGTCGAGAGATCGAGACCATCCTGGTCAACATGGTGAAACCCTGTCTCTACTAAAAATACAAAAAATTAGCTGGGCATGGTGGCGCGTGCCTGTAATCCCAGCAACTCAGGAGACTGGGGCAGGAGAATTGCCTGAACCCGGGAGGAGAGGGTGCGGTGAGCCGAGATTGCGCCATTGCACTCCAGCCTGGGTAACAAGAGCGAAACTCCGTCTCAAAAAAAAAAAAGAATAATGAAGTAACTGGGCACAGAGGCTCATTCCTTTAATCCCAGCACTTTGGGAGGCCGAGGTAGGAGGATCACTTGAGGCCAGGATTTTGAGACCAGCCTGGGCAACATAAAGAGACCCCATCTCTACAAAAAAAAGTAAAAATATTATCTAGGCACAGTGGCATATACCTCTAGTCCCAGCTACTTGGGAGGCCAAGGCAAGAGGACAGCTTGAGCCCAGGAGTTGGAGACTGCAGTGAGCTTACTGCACCACTGCACTCCATCCTGGCTGAGAAGATGACCCTGTCTCTAAAAAAATAAAAAATAAGCCGGGCCCAGTGGCTTATGCCTGTGATCCCAGCACTTTGGGAGGCTGAAGTGAGCGGATCACGAGGTCAGGAATTCGAAACCAGCCTGGCCAGCATGGTGAAACCCTGTCTGTACTAAAAATACAAAAATTAGCCGGCATGGTGGCACACACTTGTAGTCCCAGCTACTTGGGAGGCTGAGGCAGGAGAATCGATTGAACCCAGGAGGCGGAGGTTGTGGTGAGCCAAGATCGTGCCACTGCACTCCAGCCTGGGTGACAGAGACTCAGTCTCCAAAAAAAAAAAATAAATAAATAAAAATAAAAAAAAATCATACTGTGGACCCAGATTGCCTGAGTCCAAATCCTGTCTTCTCCAATTTTTAAGCAAACTACATGGACTCTGTGCTTCTTTCAGTGTTTAAAAGGGGGTGATAATATGGTACCTCTCTCACAGGGTTGTTGTGAGGAATACTGTCGGATGCACAATGCTTTCAACAGTGCGCATTATAGGGTATGCCTTATTACTATGATGTGTTGACCTTGTCTTCGCAGTGTTGGTTAGGAAGTAGGTTACTATCATTATCCACATTTTGCAGATGGGAAAATAGACTCAGAGAGATTACTAATTAGCACAAGACCACATGGCTCATAAATGGCAAAGAAGGGATTCAAACCCTGCACTATCTGGCCTGCCATGAGGGGAAGGGAGCTTTGAGGATATCAGGAGTCCCTGTGGAAGAATGAGGGGAGTCAGAAGAGCGATGCAGATGAGACTTCCTCTCTTCCTGGGTCTCACCCTGTCCGTCTCCCCTTTACTTTCAGAGACCCGAACCTCCAAAAGAGGTACCCAGTGTTGCTCAACAAAATTGCTGCTCAGGAGGTGCCCATTGAGATCAAGCCTGTAAACCCACCCACCCTGAGCCAGCTGCAGAGAATGGAGCCCAAACAGATGTTCTGGGTGCGAGCCCAGGGCTACATAGGTAAGAGGACCCCACGGATGGGAGGAAACGACTCTCCAAGGGGTCTAGGCCTGCCACTCATTTGCTGTGTGGCCTTGGGCACATTAGTTCCCTTCTCTGGGCCTGTTTCCTTATCTGCATGATGGGGAAGTTGGCTCAGCTTCTCACTGGGCCCTCTCAGCCCTTTGCATGGGGAGAATGTGGAGGTGACTATAATCCCAACACCAGGCCTTTCTGGGGAAGGCAAGGCACCTCACTGGGGTTGTTGTCCAGCTCTGCTGATAACTGTAAAGTGCCTCCGTGTAAATTGGAGGAAGACACCACTTTAGGGGCCCAGTGTGGGAGACCTGGGTAGTGAAGACTGGATTTCAGCCCTTGCTCATCTCGCTTATCCCGTCACACACACACACACTGTAGGCCAAGCGCTCTTGTGCAGCAACCAGTCTGCACATCCATGCACGGGAGTCCCTTTTCCCCTACCTCCCTGCAGGTCCTGAGCTGGAAAGCCCAGGAGCCCAGGGCTGATGGGGACCTGTTGCAGGTGAGGGCGACATGAAGATGCACTGCTGCGTGGCCGCCTACATTTCCGACTATGCCTTCTTGGGCACTGCCATGCTGCCTCACCAGTGCCAGCACAAGGTACACTTCATGGTCTCATTGGATCATTCCATGTGGTTCCACGCCCCCTTCCGAGCTGACCACTGGATGCTCTATGAGTGCGAGAGCCCCTGGGCTGGTGAGTGTGGGTCCATGTGGGACAAGGGCACTGACCTTGGGTGGCAGGGAGCCTGCTTTCTTGGGTGATGCTGACTTTCCCCGACTTCCTGTGTGCGCTGCACAGGTCACCTCCTTTCCTTCCCTCCCAGGCTTGGAATGAGAGGGTGAGGCTGGGACACCAGCTCTGCTCTAAATTTCTAGAACATGCTGGGAATGTGATTCACTTTAACTCAGGGACCTAGTTCTAGTCCCAGAACCACTTCAGATTCTCTGTATGACATTGGGCAAATCACATCTTTGTCCGAGCCTCAGTTTCCCCATCTAAACAAAAAGGGTTACATTACAGCAGTGGTATCCAAACCCGGCAGCCCATCAGACTGCCATTTGGGGAAGCTTTTCCAAAATAGATTCTGATTCCACCCTCAAGATTCTGATTCAGTAGGATCAGGTCCTACTGATTCAGATGGATTCAGTTGGATAAGGTCCAGGAAACCGTATTTTTCAGTTCTCTAAGTGATTCTGATTAACCTGATTGGGATCAGGGCATTCAGTGGTCTCTAAGGGCCTCACTGCTAGGACATTCCTCGTAGGGGAGAGAGAGAAATGAGACTCATTCATTAATGTCTAGCTTGAGAACCCTGACCTCCTTTCCAAGGGAGTACATTTCAAATGAAGAAAAGCTTCGCTTGATAAGCCAAGGACAAAACTTATGGACTCTTATACTCAGATAAGGGGTACTCTCAAGTATCAATAGCATCGCAGTCCAAGACTGATAACCTTGAAGTGAGGACATGGGTTCATATTTGGCTTCAGCCTGGGCCAAATTCCTGACCCCCTCTGGATTTCAGTCATGGTCTGGAAAACTGGACAACATATAACTGCTTCTCTTGGCTACTACGAGACAGAGCGAGCTCTGCTATGTGTAAGGGAAACCAGCAATCATCCCTCATAAACATCAAACTCAGGCCCCAAGCCAGCAAGGGAGAAAGAATCTTCAGGTGGGGAGGGAAGAGGCCAGACCTCATGGCCTCAGGTCCTCTCTGCTGAGCCCCTTCTTCCCCTTGGTGGTGGTAATAGGGGTATTTTTCATGAATTACCACTTGGAGGACCTGGCTTGATTTATTCCAATAGGTTTCCTAACACAAGTGGCCAGAGGTACAGCAGTTCTGCTTGGCCGAGCTGTTGAAGGAAACTTCTCAGAGCTCCTCCCTCTGTGATTTTTTTGAGGAAGTGAGCAAATATGTGAAAGTGCTTTTAAAATGTCAAGCGGGGTTCCTGTGGGAGGAGTTACTCCTCAATGACTCTCCATAAGCTCATGAAGGGGCATTTGGAGCAGCCACAACACTCAGTGTACCCTTGTGTTGGGCAGCCCTGTCCTGGGCCAGACCCTTTTCAAGAAGTCCACTTGGAGGTCGGGCATGGTGATGTGTGCCTGTAATCCCAGCTGCTCAGGAGGCTGAGGCGGGAGGATCCCTTGAACCCAGGAGTTTGAGACCAGCCTGGGCAACATGGTGAGACTTTGTCTCAGAAAAAAACAAAGAAGTGCATTTGACTGTTCTAAAGTAGAGAGGCCATCCTTACCCTTCACCTCACCCACAGGTGGCTCTCGGGGGCTGGTCCATGGGCGACTGTGGCGTCGGGATGGAGTCCTAGCTGTGACCTGTGCCCAAGAGGGTGTGATCCGAGTGAAGCCCCAGGTCTCAGACAGCAAGCTGTAGCCAGAGGTACCAGCTTGGCCTAGGGGTTCAGTAACCTGTCTACCACCATTCCTGAGACAGGAGTTACAGTCCTGCTGGCCCTCACATCCAATAAAGAGACAGATACCACTGGAGTGGCTGGCTTTTAATTCCCCTGGGCCAGACTTGCAGCCTTGCCTTCCTCCCTCAACTCCAGGGGCAGAGTACCTGACCTTCAGCTAGGAGGCCTCACCTAGCTGAGGACTTCCCCAGGCTTGGGGTCCAGCCAACAAGGGAACATTGCCCCCTGACCTGCGCCACAGCCCCCGGGCTGTTTGTTTATAAGTTGGAGAGGCTGTGTCAGACTTCTTCCCCGTACTATCCTAGGGCAACCCCAGCCAAAGCTCATCCTGAGCCCAGCTCAACAGAAGTAAGTTTCCTCGATCTGCTTTACATTCTCTTTTGGAACTTCTAGGGGCTCCCAGCACCCCCTGCAACCTTCCAGCTATTCTGTCCTCATCACGTTCTTCCCCTGCATTCTGGGGCAGCCCCTCTCCTCATAGTGGCCTTAAATCTAGGCAAGCATCCTAGATTAGTCCAGTACCTCCTTGATGAGCAATTCTTTCAGACTGGGGGGTGGTGTGGGGGTAAGGCCTGCCTCCTGCAGGGTTTGGAGCCGAGCCTCTGATTGACGTTTGTCCAGGCCCAGGTGCCAGGAGAGCCGTACATGGGCCTCCAGAAAGGGTGCCAGCAAAGGGTGGAGGCTCTTGTCCCCCAGCAGCTGCAGGGCCTTCTCACAGCAAGCCCGGGCCTCCCCAGGGTTCTCCAGCTCCTGGTGGCACACGGCCAGCCCAGCCAGGGTCAGCAGGGGGCGGTCTGGGCCAGAGAGGGTGCCCAGCTGGGCTTGCAGCTGCCAGGCATTGGCCCAGAGTGCCAGAGCCTCACGATAGAGGCCAGTACAGGTGAGGCTCTGTGCCCGCCGCAGCTCCGGCAGCATGAAGAAGTCCTGCAGGTCCGGGGCATGGCGCAGCTCCGGCACTGCCTGCAGGTGACCCAGAAACTGCTCAAAGGCCCGGCTACGGCGGGCAATGGTCTCTGCAGTAAAATTACGGCGCAGGCGCTTCCGGGGGAATGAGATGGCAGTCATGGGGCCCCGGAATTGCCGCTGCAGGTTTCGGTGCAGCCGCTCAAAGTCCGAGTAGCGGCGAGAGATCTGGGCTGGCTGGCGATCTGGCGGCCCTGGGCCTATCACGGCGAGGGTGTAGAGCTGCAGGGTGGGTGGGCGGGTGTCAGGGCAAATGCAAGTCATCCATGTACCCCTTCCCTCACCATCCCCCACACTCCCAGCTGTGCCTCCCCACCTCTTCACCCCTGGGACAGCACCCAGGAGGGCGGGAGCTGCTGCCGCAGTGGCGGGGGAGCCCAGTCACATCTTACCTGAGGTTTGTCTGAAATGACCCAGGCCCAAGGCAGCAAGAAGAGAGAAAGACAGAGATGAGCTTCAGTGCCTGGGGCTGGTACCCCTTTTGTCCCCTTTGTACTCCCTTCCCATAGGGGCAGTTAGTTCTTCTGACAGCCCCCGCTGGAAAACCAGACATGAGCCGAAACCCAAGCCAATCTCTTGGGCCTCCAAGCCAACCTTTAGGACCAGCTCGGAGCTTGTTCAACTTTGGACACCTGGCCTCCACATCTCTGGTCAGGCTCTTCCAAACTGGACCGAGAGGACAGGTCTGCAGACGGCCCCAGTTGCCATAACTGTGAAAAGTATACTGGCCTAGGACTCACGTTCCACCCCAGGTCAGCTACTTCCTCCCTGTGTGACCTCAGCAAGGCAGTCTCCCTCTGGGTCCACTTCTGTTTCTAGTAAAGGAAGTGCTTGGTCAGGCCAGTGTTTGTCCAAAGGTGGGACATACACAAGTATTGGTACCTGAGGTTTTTGGGTGATGTGTACTAGAGTAAATATCACTGCATCAGAATCAGGAGGTGGTTCCCCCCCCCCGTTGTTTTTTTTTTTTTTTTTTTTTTTTTTGAGACCGAGTCTCACTCTGTTGGCTAGGTTAGAGTGCAGTGGTATGATTATAGCTTACTGCAGCCTCAACCTCCAAAGTAGCTAGAACTACCAGCATGCACCACCACACCCAGTTATTTAAAAAAATTTTTTTTCTTTTTGTAGAGATGGGGGTCTCGCTATGTTGCCCATGCTGTCCTCAAACTCCTGGCCTCAAGCAATCTTCCCACCTTGGCTTCCCAAAGTGCTGAGATTACAGGCATGAGCACCACACCCAGCCTAAGTCTATTTTAATCTTTCTGACTACAAATTGAGAAGCTCTCAGATTGGTTTTTAAAAAGTACTTCTTGGGCCAGGTGCGGTGGCTCACACCAGTAATCCCAGCACTTTGGGAGGCCGAGGCGGGAGGATCACCTGAGGTTGGGGGTTCAAGCCCAGCCTGACCAACATGGAGAAAAATACTGTCTCTACTAAAAATACAAAATTAGCTGGGCACAGTGGTGCATGCCTGTAATCCCAGCTATTCGGGAGGCTGAGGCAGAAGAATTTGCTTGAACCTGGGGGACAGAGGTTGCAGTGAGCTGAGATCACACCATTGCACTCTAGCCTGGGCAACAAGAGTGAAACTCCATCTCAAAAAAAAAAAAAAAAAAAAGTACTTCTCTAACACTTCTCATCTCCATTTTTTTTAGAAAAGAGCCAGAAAGTGGATCTCAGGTCAGGGCCTCTTTCAGGCAACAGCATTTAGGCAAGATTTAATGACGTTTCATTTTCACTACTTTTATTTTTATAGCTAGCTTCTCTTTGTGGCAAGTAGGCTTTCCACATACAGTAGTGCTATTAAGTTGTCTTTTAAACTTATTTAAAGGATGGGCACAGTGGTGTGGCTCATACTTGTAATCCCAGTACTTTGGGAGGCTAAAGCAGGAGGACTGCTTAAGGCCAGGAGTTCGAGACTAGCCTGGGCAACATGGCAAGACCCTGTCTCTACAAAGAAAAAAAAGAAAAAAGAATTAGCTGGGTACTTGTGGTCCTAGCTACTCAGGAGGCTGAGGCAGGAGGATCATATAAGAACAGGAGTTTGAGGCTGCAGTGAGCTACCATGGCGCCGCTGCACTCCAGCCTAGGCGACAGCAAGACTCCGTTTCAATAAAATAAACAAACTTCATTTAAGAAAAAAATAGGTTTGGCCAGGTGCAGTGGCTCACACCTGTGATCCCAACACTTTGGGAGGCTGAGGAGGGCAGATCACTTGAGGTCAGGAATTCAAGACCAGCCTGGCCAAGAGTGAAACCCCATCTCAACTAAAAATGCAAAAATTAGCCAGGTGTGATGGTGGGCACCTGTAATCCCAGCTACTCAGGAGGCTGAGGTGTGAGGACTGCTTGAACCTAGGAGGCGGAGGTTGTAGTGAGCCGAGTTTCCAGCCTGGGCAACAGAGTGAGACTCTGTCTCAATAAAAAGAAAAAAATAGGTTCATTTAAAGAAAAATGTTAAGAAGAAAAGGGCACAAGTAGCACTTTAGACAGGACAAGTATCAGGGAGGTACTGGAATGACTGAGGTTTGGGAAAACGCTGAACAAGATGATCACTAAGCTCCCGCCTTCCAGGTCTGAGAACCTGAATATGGATTAACCTATAATAATGCTGAGCCAACAGGTTTAAAAGGAGAGTTAGCAAGTGTTAGATGTTAAAGGCACCCTAACACCAAATCCAGATTTTTCTCTCACATCTGTTCTGTGAACTTACAATACTCTAGTCACCCCTGGTCTGTTAGGTTTGTCTACTCTGTCCTCCTGAAGATTCACAGTGTGCATTAATATTAAGGATTAAAAAGTTTAATAATAAAAAAACTTACTGTATTCTCATTTAACTCTGCATTCTCAAAACATACTGCCTACAAAACCTTTATTTAGAAACAGCTATTAACATTCCAGGGAACCAATTTTCTTCAAGACACACCGGTCTATAAGTCTTTATGTTCATGTAGTTTACATTTTGTATCAGTTTTCTCATTGATCCTTGTAACATGCAGCCAGATGGGTAATAATGATAGTAGTTCCATTACCCGAGCACTTACCCTGTGCCTCCTGCTGTACTAAGCACTTTTTACATCTGTGATTTCATTTAATCATCACAACAGCACTGCAAGGAAGTTGTCCTTATCTCTGACAGCTGAGGAAGCAGGCTTAACGACTTGCTGTAAGTCACACAGCTGGAAAACAGCCCAGCTGGGATTTAAACCCAGGTTGATCTGATTCCAAAGCCTGTGCTCTTCACCTCACAGGTTAAATGGGGAACACGTGGCCATCCTGCTCTATCTTGTCATTCCCTTCATCCCCTTCCCATCCCGGTACCCAGAGTCACCCCCATTCCTCTCTGCCTCTGAATTGTTCCTTGGTGTCCCCTTCCTGTGTATGAAACCTCACCCACCCCAGAGTTCTGAGACCTTTTTGCCACTTCAGACTTCATCATTGGCCACATGTGGTGGTGCACACCTGTAGTCCTAGCTACTTGGGAGGCTGAAGTGGGAGGATCGCTTGAGCTCAGTTGGAGGTTGCAGTGAGCTGTGACTGCACCACTGGACTCCAGCCTGGATGACAGAGTGGGACCCAGTCTCAAAATTTTTTTTTTTTTTTTTTTTTTGAGACGGAGTTTCGCTCTTGTTACCCAGGCTGGAGTGCAATGGCGCGATCTCGGCTCACCGCAACCTCCACCTCCTGGGTTCAGGCAATTCTCCTGCCTCAGCCTCCTGAGTAGCTGGGATTACAGGCACGCGCCACCATGCCCAGCTGATTTTTTGTATTTTTAGTAGAGACGGGGTTTCACCATGTTGACCAGGATGGTCTCGATCTCTTGACCTCGTGATCCACCCGCCTCGGCCTCCCAAAGTGCTGGGATTACAGGCGTGAGCCACCGCGCCCGGCCTCAAAAATTTTTAAAAAGACTAAATAATCAGAATCGGTCCCTGCTGAAATTGGAGTAGTCACCCCATGGGTGTGGCCTTTGCTTACTAACAGCAACAGAGAAGGGTGGAGAGGCCTAGATGTGGGACTGGGCTCCAGGCCCCCTCCTGCTGAGTCAGAGGTAGAGAAGGGTGATGAAGAGGAGAGGAGTGAGAGATGGAGGGCTGCCACTGACAGGAGTGGCCAGCTTAGCTGGCTTTCAGGCCTGGCCGGAAAAGTGACCAGAGCAGGAGTTGCTGCCGGCATTAAAGGAGCAGGACCTGGCAGACCTCATTCTCCAAGTCAGTCTCCCAACAGCAAGGAAAACAGCAAGGGACTCCAAGGCCCTCGCCAACACTGCTCTTCAGCCTAACCTCCACCCACCCCCCAAGTCTAGCCCTTAGGACAAGACTATTCTGTACAGGGTGGGGTCCTTGAGAATTGATTCACCTTCCTTACAAGGACACAGCAGACCCTAGATGACAGACAAGACATTTACAACCCAAAGTTAAATAATAATGACATAGCTACCATTTAATTGTACCTAATGCCGAGCACACTGCTAAGGGCTTTTTGTCCACTCTCTCATTTAACCCCTGCTGTAATCTGCATTTTCCCCATTGCTATAATGAGGAAACGGAAGATCACCAAGGTTAAACAACTCACCCAGAGTCAAACAACTGGAAATAAGTGGTAGTCAAGGTGGGTCTGGATCGAAAGCCTATTTCCTTAACCACCAACCCATGCACCTGGAATCTCAAGTTTGACCCAGATAACATCTGTCTCTGTATCTCACATCTTGCTATAATTTGCAAAAACTTGTGGGCTAGGCGGGGAAGCGCACACACCAGTTCTCTTAGTCGCAAAACCAGGGTAAGAGGAAGGTCCTTAATCCCCACTTTACTCAGTCTCAAGGAAACTAAGTCATTTACATGAGGATTCGCTCAAGTTACCTCCCCTTTCTGACCTCAGTTTCCCCATTTGTAAAATGAGGTAGCCATTTACAACTATATAGACCCCTCAGGAAGTTGGAGTCCTTCCTACTTGCTCGTAGCCATACTTCCAGACTCACAGCCCAGGGATCCTGGACCCTCACTCACCACGTACTTGGAGGGCGGGTCCTTGACAACGGTGGCGCTGGTCACTTCAAAGAGCAGCCGCTGAGGTGCCAGGGTGTTCCGGGACTTCTTCCAGAAATCCTGCAACTGTCGCGCCAGAAGCTGACCGCCCCGCTGCCCATCAGGTGGGGGGCTCCGTTCTGCAGACACATGACCAGTCACATCAATGGGCCAGGGTCAATATCAACCACTGCCATGACCTCACTCGTCTTCCCAATGTGAGGCAGGACTTATCCCCATTTTACAGAAATGGAAACTGAGGGGCAGAGAGGCACCGAGGAGCCAAACACCATGCCTGGTAGACAGTAGGGGATAAATTAAAAGCTCCACCCTCAAAATATGGCTAGCACATCATTTCTATTCGGATTCCAGGCCCTGTACATTTAATGCCCGCAGCAACTCTGAGATGAGAGTGAGTTCTCCCACTTGACACAAGGGAAAACTTGGCTCAGAAGGGTGTTAAGAATCTCTCAAGGTCACACAGCCAAGAGGTGGCCCAGGCGCTTTAAGTGTGGGAGTTTCAGCTGGATCAACTCAGCGCCCTGGATGCTCTGGGAACGCGGCTGGGATGGAGGCCTAACCGAGCCCCAGGGTTCCCGCCTCCGACCTCCCGCACTCGCCTGCGTCTTCTCCTGATGTCCAGTCCCCGGGGGGCAGCGGGTCGGGGCCAGTCTCCTCGTCGTCCTCGTCCTCGTCGTCCTCATCGTCCTCAGCGCTGGTGAAGCTGAGGGTGCCGCTGAGTCGGGAGGACAGGCCCTCGGCGTCGTCGTCCTCCAGCTCTGAGCTCTCCGGGAACTGCTCGGCCTCTGGCCTGGCCGCCGCCGCCTCCCCGGGGCCGTCGCCTGCCAAGGCGTGCCGCAGCCGGTGCAGGAGCCGGGAGGCCATGGCACCCTGGGGGGAGCGCACCAAGCTGGGTCCTGGGTCCCAGAAGACGAGGAGGACCCCCGCCCGGCGCTGGAGGAGGGGCGGGGCCCGGACCGGAGAGGGAGGGGTGCAGTGAAGCCCCGCCCCCTGGCAGCCCGCTGGCCTGCGAACCCAGGGACCCAGCCCGCGTCGCTTTCCCCCCTCCCATTCAGCCTAGGACCGCGTTCCTCCCCGGAGGGGCTCGGGCCCCTCCCGACGTCTCTTGCGCTGCCTCGCGCGCGTCTACCTCCTGCGTCCCACGGTGCATTCAGGAGCGCACCACGCCCCGGCGGTCCCGGTGCAGCCCCCCGCAGCCCAGGGAGGCCGGCCGGGCTCTGCGGGGCTCCGCCGGGCTCAGGCCGCTCCCAGCGCCGCTCCGGCCGCTTCCTGCCGCCGCCCCGCCTCCTGCCCCGCCCGCTCGCTGGAGCCGCCCGAGAATCCCGGGCCTTTGGCTCCAAGAGGGACTTGGGAAGCCTGGGTCGGCCTGAGGGAGCCCCAGGCCTGCCGCAGAATCATCCCAATTCGGCCAGGCGCCTACCCTCCTTGGGTCGTCCCACCCCTTCCGAGACCCAGGTCAGCTCCAATCTGTCCCACTCATTTCCACCCGAAGCTCTTGAACTTCATAAAGTAATTATGCGATGTTAGGGAGGCCATGTCTCCCGTGAGAAAACGAAGGCCAGGAGAAGATGCGTAATTTGGGTTGGACTCTGGCCTCGCTGAGCCTAGGTTTTCTCATCTATGAAACAGGAACAATACTGCTAAAGCTAATTTTTGCGGCTCTTGTAAGAACCCTCATCCAGTGCCTGGCATACAGCAAGGGCTCATGAAATGATCACTTACAAAATGATTATTGTTTCTACAGTGTTCGCAGGCTTGCACAATTTCATTTGAACCTCACACATGGGAAGTAGGCAAACGGGGAAACTGAGGCCCAAAGAGGGTGAGTTACTTGGTTAAAGCCACACAGCTTGCCAGAGGCGGCCTGCCTGCCTTCCTCTTTCTTTCTTTCTTCTTTCTTTTTTCTTTCCCTTTCTCCCTCTCTCTCTCTCTCTCTCTCTCTCTCTCGAGATGGAGTCTCTGTCACCTAGGCTGGAGTGCAGTGGGCACCATTTCGGCTTACTACAACCTCTGCCTCCTTGGGCTCAGGTCATCCCTCCCACCTCAGCCTCCCAACTAGCTAGGACTACAGGCTAATTTTTGTATTTTTTGTACAGATGGGATTTGGCTATATTGCCCAGGCTGGTCTTGAATTCCTGGGCTCAAGCGATCCACCTGCCTCTGGCTCTGTAAAGGCTGGGATTATGGGCCTGAGCCACCTCCCCGACCCAGAGGTCTCTGAGTGTGGGGCCTGGAGCCCAGGTCCCCTGCTGCATACTGTCCTTTTCCCGTGCAGCAGGCCTGATCATCTCAGCAGCTCCTCAGCATTTTTTTTTTTTTTTCTTTTGAGATGGAGTTTTGAGATGGAGTGCAATGGCGTGATCTAGCTGGGATTAAGGCCTGTGCCACCATGCCCAGCTAATTTTTGTATTTTTAGTAGAGATGGGGTTTCTCCATGTTGGTCAGGCTGGTCTCAAACTCCCGACCTCAGGTTATCTGCCCGCCTCAGCCTCCCAAAGTGCTGGGATTACAGGCAACCGAGCCCAGGACGTCAGGAGAAGATGCAGAGGAGTGAACAACCGAGCCCAACCCCCAGCTTTGTTTTATCTTTTATCCTCAGGGCAGCTTCAGGTCGAGAAAAAGTTATTGTGGCTTCCTGTCAAAAAGCCTAGATGTCAGTTGTTAGGGCAGATGTTGATGGTTATACAATATAACAAATAAACCCAAAATGTCTACAAAGTAGCTCCTACCCTTTCTGAGTGGCACAGGAGAGAGGGGTGGGGGGAAATGCCTTTGAATAAGTAGAAGAATGTGAGCAGAAAGGCTGGGGTTCTTATTTTCTGAGGGTCCACTGTCTCCTACAACCTGCTCTAGGCACTTTATATACTGTCACATCTCGCCCTCACAGCATCCTGGGGAAGAGGCTGTAACTGGACAGTAATGGCCCATTTTCAAGATGAAGAAACTGAGGCAAAGTGACTTCCCCAAGATCCACATCTCGGAAATAGAGAGGCTGGGATTTAAACCTAAGTTTGTGCAATTTCTTTTTTTCTTTTTTTTAGGGAGGGAGATGGAGTGTTGCTCTGTTGTCTAGGCTAGAGTACTGTGATGCAGTCTCAGCTCACTGCAACCTCCACCTCCCAGGTTCAAGCAATTCTCCTGCCTCACTCTGCTGAGTAGCTGGGACTACAGGCATGCACCACCACGCCTAATTTTTGTATTTTTAGTAAAGACGGGGTTTCACCATATTGGCCAGGCTGGTTTTGAACACCTGGCCTCAAGTAATCCACCTGCCTCTGCCTCCCAAGTGCTGGGATTAGAGGCACGAGCCACCATGCCTGGCCAGTTTACACAATTTCACACCTCAAATTACTCCTTCATTCGGCTTATGGGTAAGATATTGGAACAACAACAAAAAAACCACCATTAATTCATTCAACACTCACTCATTCACCAACCATTGGTTAAAAATTAACTTGTCCTTTCGTATATGCCTTACCTATCTGGGCACAAAGCTGATCGTCATCAAACCATGGGTTGTTAGAGCAGGAGGACCCCTCAGAAATCTGGCCTGTCACCTCCGTTTTACAGATAGGTAGTCTGAGGCTTAGTGAGGGGAGGGATTATGCCAGGCATACAAAAACGGTCAGAACTGGGAGATCTCAAGGTCTTGCATTCTCCACTATTATTATTATTCCTCCTTCTTTTTTCTTCCTTCTTCCTCCTTCTGCTTATTTCTTCTTCCTTTTAAATTTATTTATATTTATTTATTTATTTGAGACAAAGTCTCGCCCTGTCACCCGGGCTGGAGTGCAGTAGCGCAATCTGGGCTCACTGAAACCTGCGATTCTCTTGCCTCAGCCTCCCAAGTAGCTGGGATTACAGGTGCCTGCCACCACACCTGGCTAATTTTTGTATTTTTAGTAGAGACAGGGTTTCTTCATGTTGGTCAGGCATGTCCAGAACTCCTGACCTCATGATCCGCCCACCTCAGCCTCCCAAAGTGTTGGCATTACAGGCATGAGCCATTGCGCCCGGCCTTATTTTTATTTTTGAGACAGAGTTTCACTCCATCACCCAGGAGTACAGTGGCACAATCTTGGCTCATTGCAACCTCCACCTCCCAGGTTCAAGTGATTTTCCTGCCTCAGCCTCCCTAGTAGCTGGAATTACAGGCACGTGCCACCACACCTGCCTAATTATTGGATTTTTAGTAGAGACAGGGTTTCACCATATTGGCCAGGCTGGTCTTGAACTCCTGACCTCAAATGATCCACTTGCCTTGGCCTCCCAAAGTGCTGGGATTACAGGTGTGAGCCACTGTGCCTGGCCTATCCTTCCTTTTTTAGAGACAGAGTCTTGCGCTGTTGGCCAGGCTGGAGTGCAGTGGTGCGATCATAGCTCACTGCAGCCTCAAACTGCTGGTCTCAAGTGATTCTCCTACTTCAGCCTCCCAAGTAGCTGAGACTACAGATATGTGCCACCATGCCTGGCTAATATTTTATTTTTTGTAAATGTGGGGTTTCATGTTGCCCAGTCTGATCTTGAACTCCTGGCCTCAAGAGATCCTCCTACCTCTGCCTCCCGAGGTGCTGGGATTACAAGCATGAGCCACCATCCACCATTCTTCATTTATTTTTTTAATTGGAGATAGGATCTCGCCTCCCAAAGTGCTAGGATTACAAACATGAGCCACCGTTCCCATTTTTAAACTCTGTATGGATATCCCCTGCAGCCTCCCTGAGAAATGGTCATCTATCTACTGCTTGCATATACTCAGCGACAGGGAGCTCATTACCTTCTGAGGCCGCCTGTTCCCATTTTTGTTCAACCATGACTATTAGGAAGTTCCCCCTTATACTGAACGAAATACCATTCAGTTCAGTTATTCTTTTCTTTTTTTTTTTGAGACAGAGTTTCACTCTTGTTGCCCAGGCTGGAGTGCAATGGCGCGATCTCAGCTCGCTGCAATCTCTGCTTCCCAGGTTCAAGTGATTCTCCTGCTTCAGCCTCCCGAGTAGCTGGGATTATAGGCATGTGCCACCACGCCCAGCTAATTTTGTATTTTTAGTAGAGACAGGCTTTCTCCATGTTGGTCAGGTTGGTCTCCAACTCCTGACCTCAGGTGATGTGCCTGCCTTGGCCTCCCAAAGTGCTGGCATTACAGGTGTGAGCCACCATGCCCAGCCCAGTTATTCTTATGTAGAATATAATATCTGTTGAACACCTGCTATGTGGCAAGTGCTGAGTACAGGTATTAATCGACTTACCACCTATGCAACTTACGACCATTCGACTTTACAACTATAATCGCTAGCCACGACTGCTCCGCGTCTGGCAGCGTAAACATTGCCCAGCTGGGTGTACGACAGTGCGGACCAGCTTCCGGCAGCACTACCATCTCCGTGTGCACCATTTCAGCTGTACATATAACCTACTCAACTTACGACCAAATCGTGTTATGACCGGTCTGCGGTCCCAACCGTGGTTGTAAGCCGAGCACTAGCTGTACTGGAAAATGTGGTGGTCTGTGAAACATAGAATGGGTGGTGATCATCAGGCATGCTCAGTGCTATGATTGAGGAAACTACTGGAGACCACCTTGGACTCCCTGGCCTGGACATAGGGGAGGAAGGATCTCCTAGGAAGTGATGCTAGAGCTGAGAAATATGATAGGGAAGTAGACAGATGAAGAGAGGGAATATGGGAGTTTCAGGTAGAAAAAAACAGCATAGGGCCAGGTGCGGTGGCTCAAGCCTATAATCCCAGCACTTTGGGAGGCCGAGGCGGGTGGATCACGAGGTCAAGAGATCGAGACCATCCTGGTCAACATGGTGAAACCCCGTCTCTACTAAAAATACAAAAAATTAGCTGGGCATGGTGGCGTGTGCCTGTAATCCCAGCTACTTGGGAGGCTGAGGCAGGAGAATTGCCTGAACCCAGGAGGCGGAGGTTGCGGTGAGCCGAGATCGCGCCATTGCACTCCAGCCTGGGTAACATGAGTGAAACTCCGTCTCAAAAAAAAAAAAAGAAAAAAACAGCATATGCAAAGGCCTGAAGGTTCATAAAAGGTGGTGTTTAGAGCAGTATTTTAAAGTCTGACCAGAACAGACAGCAACACAATGTGGAGGGGAGAAGGAGGGAGATTAGAATGGCCAGTGGGACCTTGCTTGGCCACATTCAGGAATTTGGGAGGCTGGAGGATCACTTGAGTAAGGTCAGGAGTTCAAGACCAGCCTGGCCAACATGATGAAGCCTTGTCTCTACGAAAAATACAAAAATTGGCTGGGCACAGTGGCTCATGCCTGTAATCCCAGCACTTTGGGAGGCAAAGGCGGGTGGATCACCTGAGGTTGGGAGTTCAAGACCAGCCTGACCAACATGGAGAAACACTGTTTCTACGTAAAATACAAAATTAGCCGGGCGTGGTGGCACATGCCTATAATCCCAGCTACTCAGGAGGCTGAGGCAGGAGAATCA